TCAATTCAATCCATTCACTATCCACCTGCACACCTCCGCGGCTGGCTTCATCTCCACCGCACGTTACAATGTGTCCGGGGAGAGGGAGGTCTGGACTTCTCTGCTTTGGTTGTTGCCCCTGTGATGCCGCCCCGGATAAGCAGAAGACAATGGATAGATGGACAACCCTTTCTAGAAAAAAAATCAATTATATGATCTCATAATGAGGTAGATGATTTATGTTCCGTTCATATTTTTACAACTTCTTACATCTAATAACAATTGAAATAAATAACATTCATATAAGAAACAAAACAGTATAGTGTAAACTATATATGGTGTTAAATAGGCCTATACTACGGTACTTTAATGTCGGTCATAAGGGTGGTACTTTAAAAGCCACATATTGTTATAAGGTGGTACTCATTGTGAAAAGATTGAGAACCACTGGTTTATGCTAACACCTCAGATTAAACAACAGACTTTGTGACTTTTAGATAAAGTCTGTTTAATGTCTATTTAATAATTTGTTTAAGAGTTTGTGACCATTATGAAAGCTCTGATGTACTGAAAGCTAATCAACTTCTGAATATCCTCTCAAAGGATCATTTTAAATTGTTGTTTCATCAGTATCTTGAAATCATGATGTTAAAGAAGTATTTTACAAATATACATTGATTAAAGCATAACCAATGAAACTGTTGGACATACTAGAAATGTTGCCTAATGTACTGTCATGTTCTAAAGCCATTTAGATTTCAAAGATTTGATTTGGTTTTATTAAGATTTTTAGAATTGGTAGATTTCTAAGATTTATGTTTCCTTTTTTGTTTTATTTGTGCACTATTACATAGAAGTAACACAGGGTTTATATTCACTGCTTTCTTCCTTGCCAGTGTGTGTTTTGTTTATGGAACGGACTCAAGATTTAGATTCGGAAAGGCAAAAAAATGTTTATTTACACACACCAAGTGATAACGTGCAGGTAATACAGGGGCTCCAAGGGTCCACGGGGTATTGAGGGAAGGGTTCCACACATCGGCGGAGCGGGGTGGGTGGCTTAAGCCCGGGTCATTTTTTCAGAAGCCCGGGGTCTTTTGGAGTGTAATTTGTTTCATAGTCACTGTCAAAAATTCCCCCTAATTTTGGTATGAACCTGGCTCAGGCACTAGGCGACTGAGCACAGCACTTACGCATTTGAGCGAGTGGGGAGAAGCTGCTGCCTGCGAGTTTGCTGTAAGTGCAGCCAGGTAGACAGAGGAGAGCCTAAATTTGACCAGGTACTAAAGCAAATCATTCGTACTGTACAAATAATGTAAATATGACGGTGTATCACAAAAGATTGATATCTAACTGATCACTTGACCCTTAGCGTTACTTGCCTTGCGAGTGAATCAACAAATGGTGAAATGAAAAGCCGAACAACAATAATTTTTTTTAGAGTCTTAGCTTACATGTGTGTTTATTTCACATTTTCAGTTGTTATCCTCCACGGCTAAATAAAGCACTCTAAATCAGTTTCAGTTATGTACTGATGAACACAACATGGACATAAGGAGCTTCTTTCAAAGAAAAAAACTCATAACATCACTAGATGTTATTTTATATATTATGCTTTGTATGTTGTTCAGTATATTTCTATGCAAAACAAGAGGAATATAAATACATACATGTACACTAAGTTTATTGTTAATTTATAAGAAAACTCCAGTCGATTCCATTCTGAGCTTAAGAAGCTGAGAGGTTAGTAGAGGCAAAACACAGAGCCTGTGTCACATTCCTGGGTCTGTTGACCCAGCGTTTTGAGTTTTAGTTTATTTGGATGTTTTAAGTTCTTTAGGGTAGCTAAGTTCATTTGTTTATTAGTTTCTCTTTGTGTTTTTCTACCCCTGTATTTAAGTTTCCCTCTCCCTGTTTCATGCTGCGTATCTTATGTTGTCAAGTTTACATTGTCTTGTCTACATCTCATGTTTCCTGTTTTATTTTGAAGGTCTGTGTCCTATGTCAGTGTAGTCAGCTTTGGTTCCTTTGTCTCGTTATGTCAGACTAGTGTCAGCTGTTTCCCCTTGTGTTTCCACTTCCCCCTGATCACCCTTGTGTGTATTTATTCGTGTGTTTCTGTTCATTCATTGTCAGGTCGTCTGTTGTCCTTTGTGCCATGTTTCCAGGTTCTGTGCTCTAGGTATTTTTGTGTCCATGTTAGGGTTCATGTTATGGGTTTCTATAGCTGTGTCCCAATTCAGGGTCTGCACGCTTGAAGTACGCGCACTATGCGTACTACGTACGGTGCGTACTATAAGTACGAGAAGTGTGGAAGTGAGAGGCTTGTGAAATGGGACGGTATACGCTTCGTCGCACTGTTCAGGTTGCCTAGCAACCATGATACTAACCGCGAGACACGTTACATACAGCTTTGTGTGACAGAAATGAAGGAGAAACATGTTTTATTAGTCATTCATTTTTGTCATGACATCACTTTGATTAGTTGAGTATCTGAGGCTGAGACCACAGGACTGTAAAACATGATAGTTGGGCTTCATTTCTGTGCTGAACAGTCATT